CACTTGGTCCTAAATTGGGTGTAATAACAAGTCAAGGAAGAGCTTTTAGATCATTAAAAGCATTGCTGAAATTTGAACAAATTTTGCTTTGTTACTAATATTACATGGAAAAAAAAAGAGAACTATCGAAACAAGAGAAATTTGGAAAATTCATGTGAGAAAACAAGAGACTGCTCCTTTAGTCTGTTTCTGTCCCCACTGTCGAGTGAATCATTATGTGGTGTAATTGTTCTGTGCCTCTGTGGATCTTTACAAATGGAGCAAAACCACGGAGTTTCTACTTTTCTGGAAGTGTGTGTAGGTGGAGGCTGTTGTCATGGTTGGGCATCCTGGAAAACATGACGTTATTCCTCAGCTCATAGGTCACACTGTATCCTGTTACTTAGATGTCAGGGAGGGTAGCTAGGAGTCTTAGTTGCAATATAAATAGAAGTTTATAGAAGTTGAAAAGTAACCTGAATAGGATTCACTGAGTAATCCCTTTGAAGCAAATGCAAACACTTATGAGCACTATCAGAAGTGATTATTCCTGCAGGGATAGAAAACGAGTTATTGTGGTCTGTATCGTTCTGACTTGGAGACCAGAGGGTAGGAGTCAGTCTCTGACGGGCCTGGAGGCATTGATAAGGAGGAGGGGTTATTTAATAGTTTGCCTGTAGCTTATGGTAATTTTCACGTTTCTGAAAAGTTGGCTTTGTAGTCTGGCCTCTTGGGAAATCTCCACATCTACTTTGTGGAGATGATCTGAATCTAAGAAGATAGATTCTATTAGTCCATGAGAACTTGCCGCAGTCAACTGGAATGGCCAAGGTCAAAGAGGACTGCACTGGCGGGGAGTGACGCATTCTGCCACCTCAGAAAGTCTGCATTCTGCATGTTGACGCGGGACAAGGAAACGGCTGGGTGGTAGAACACATCCAGACACATTTTAAAACATGTATATTCATGTGCACCATGTGTAATGCTTAGCACAGTGGCTTTCATATAACAGCTTTTCAGCAAACACTAATAATATTGAATTAAATCTTTTAACTATAAGAAACCTTATTTCCAATTTTTCAATGGCAGGTAACTTGTTTCCACCCAAGGGAACTCATACTGTCCTTCATGAGAGGGCATTTACTAAAATTTGTTGAAATGATAACTATAGCCATACTTGCTAGCCATTTATTAATATCCTGTCACAAGAACTGGAAACAGGATTTGTTTTTAGAAATAAAGACACTCTAGAAGGAAGTCAATTTTTTGTGAGGACATTGTATTTTATTTACCAGTTATCATGAGATGTGTGCAATAGGATAAAACCTACGTTTGCCAGTAAGAAAGTTCTTCGCTCTGCCTTATTTACTATACTCATAATCCAGAATGTGGTTTTCCACTCCAAATTTCTGATTATAAAATATTAACATCTGTTATCCAATTGCGTGGCTTGGAAGGTATTATGTAGGGTAAATGGATCGTCTCATCTTTTTTTTTTTTTTCCTTTTTAATTGATGAAGCAAAGTACCATTCAGCAAAGTCTATTTTTAAAAGTATTTATTCAGTTGACAACCAATCCCAAATTAAAAGAGATGAAAAATAACATAGTTAAGAAAACAGCGAATTGACTGTTGCTAGATATGTATGCGGGAAGAAAGGAGGTCTTAACAATTTTCTAATGTATCAGTGACCCCAAACCTGTGCATAAGTTCTGAGGTGGTTGAAAGCGACAACCAGTTCTCTTAATGATTCACCAAAGGGGGAAAAAAAAATCCAACATCTGAAAAGGATAAAATCACGTGGATATAAGGTATCTGCCTTATTCTGAAATAGCAAGGTTGGCGAAAGTGGTGAGAACCAAGCAAACAATGGGGTAAATGAAGTAGCACCAGGCAGAAGCTGAGTCTGGCCTGAATTCATCCTCAAGCTATGACCTTGGGGAACTAGCCTGAGGTGTTCACTTTCCCCTCTGATTCAGGTGCTCTCTGTGGTCCCAGGCAGGAGGGACATTTCCTAGAGATTTGTAACCTAGGCTTGGGCAGAAGCCTGGGTGGAGGCATTGTCTCTGAGCAGTGCCTGTATTTACAACCCAGGACGACCTGTAGATATCACTGAAGTAAGGCAGAGTTAAATAATAATAATTTTAAAAACCCAGTATTAAGCCTTAGATTTGTCAAACATTTGGGCGGGTCACAGCTTCTCAGCATCTTATATTGCAAGACCAGAGAGTCTAGATCTGTGTCGTTCCTCATAATTCCAACATTAAAAAAAATCACTTTTAATAGAATTTTAGAGCAGCAAAGATTTTAATCTAATTAAATATGCCTTCAGATAGATATTCATTGAGTGAGCTAAATGCTAGACAAAAATATTGTTCAAATGAGGAAAACAACACTGTATTAGAAATGATCTTGGAGTCAATTAATTTCCAAATTAATAGATTCAGCATGATGAATATTTCCCTAACAGCAAAGCAATTATTAATACATAAATTCTAAGTTTAATAATTTCTTTCTTTCTTTCTTTCTTTCTTTCTTTCTTTCTTTCTTTCTTTCTTTCTTTCTTCCTTTCTTTCTTCCATGTGACAAGCCATCGTCCTGCTATTATTGTAATGGTTACATTGTTTACATGAACTAGGATAAATATCTCCCAAAAAAGTGCTCACAGAGACACCACAAATAGAAATATATATGAAGAAAAACAAATATATTGTTGATTCAAATTGTCTTATATAGCAGGAAGGCAGTCTTTCATTGGTTTAGGACATCATATAGTGCTGTTCTAGAGAACCATTCCTTTCAGCATAGCTCTAGTAGTAAAACTTAAGATGTTTTATGCTTGAATTAACCCAAGGTAAACTTTTAGAAGAATTCAGGTCGATTTGTGAGAGAGTAGCCATTTTCTGATTTTATAGTTAAGACTTCAATGGTATGAGAGCAAGTTTAGAAAACATTTTTATTAGACAAATTATTTAGACAAATTATACACAGAAAGCTCTGCCACTCATAACTGAGGCCTCCAAAAAGTGTTTCGTGTATTTGTATAATAGGCAATACATCAAAATAGGCCTATTTTAAATATTGTACATGGTTAACAGTTTGTCGATAGCTAAAATCACTGCAACATCTGGTATGTCCCTATAGAGCTTGTTGCAAAGTATTTTTTTTTGTTTGTTTTAAAATCAGAGTTGGGAATGAGATCGTGAATGTTACAAGGGAAAACAAGTTGTGCATGCACTTAGGTACTTGTCACCCTGGAAACAAAATGGTTTTTGCATGATAAGAACTTTTCCTGCCTTACACAGTAGACAATATTTGAAGATTTAGTACAAAAACAGTGACAGTACAAGATGCTCCCCAGAACAGAATTAGCATCAAAATATAATATACCTTAAGAATATACCTTTTAATTTCTCCTAAAGCAAATCACATAGGTTGATTCCTCTATCAATCCTAGCTACGGAATGAATTAGATTAAAATAAGTGTATGGCTGCGTGAAAACACAGATAAGTGCTTGCTTCCTACTTACCACATTTTAATTTAAGGATTACAAACAAAGTTCATTCTACAGTTCTAACAGGTGAGAATGCTACTTTAAAAGGGTTGTGCACAAAGAGGCACTGTTTTTGCTGTCATCTTCTATACACTTGGCACTAATGTAAAAAATACATAACTCCTCCAAATAGAACTGAATAAAAAGCGGGTTAAAGTCGAGAGCCCGGTATGGTCATTATATTTTCTTCTTTAGGATAATGTAGGACAGCAATTAAGGCCACATCAATATTTCTTAAGGGCTCCCACCTCTCCCCAGCTACAGTTGTATTGATTGGCTTTCTGCTTTGGAAGAGGATTTATTAACCTTCGATGATCTACGTTTAAACTCTTATAGAGCTCTATGTGCTGCTGTGGACATGGTCCAGCTAATAGCATTTTCCATTGAGATAACTGATTAAAAGTAAAATGATCGAGGTTAGCTTTATATAATGCTGAATAACAAATGCAAAACCTACTCGAATGAGTTACATCTAGGAACAAATATTAAACCGCCCTGGATGTTTTAATAACAAAAGTATAAAATATTCTCAGTTGGCAAACAATGCGAGTCAGAATAACATTAAAGCAACCTGCCTTTTCTAACTGAAAAGACCCCCTGCGCTATACATAGTTCCTGTATACAATACTGGTTTTTTTTTAAACTAAAGCTTTATTAAATGAATTGCAATAGCAATGGCCGCCCTTTAATATATATACACATTATATAGGTGCATATATATGTATATATATGAGATACTAATTTATTTAACACAATAGAGGCTTCTGCCATATGATAGAGTGTACTGTACATAAGAAAAAACTTGTAATACTGTACAATCACATAAAGGTCATATGCACTGTTACAGTGCAAGCGTAGTTTTAACTGTAGTCTTGACTGGCATATTAATGGCTTTTTTTTTTTTTTGTAATCCTACAAAATTGCATTCTCATATTACGTGGCCTGAATGGTCTTTAAGTTATCTTATAAACACTGCAGGGGTTGCCTTTGGTCCACAGTTAAAGGACACTCAACAGCAGTGGAGCATTGTATGGATGCAGCAGAAGAATGTAAAAAGACTGAAGTTATTGCAATTATAGTTTTAAAAATAGAGAAATGTTACATAAGAGGCCTTTATGTGAAATTAATCCTGCATATGCTTTTAGTATACTCAGTGCACATTTCCTATACTTGAAGTACAGTATATGAAAAGCAGACTAATAGGATCCTAGTATACTATATTCTGGGGGAACAAGTTGAGTAATGAAAAAAAAGTGGAGGGAAATGTACAGAAAGAGAGGGCAAAAGAGAAGGAAATAGAAGAGAGAGAGAAGAGGGGGAAGGTGGCGAGAAAGAACTATAATTGTTACTAATCATCCTGATTTTTCTCAAAAAATAATGTTACATCCATGTTAGTCCCACAATATTACAGTCGCTCCTTGCAAAGGGAGTCCTACAAAAGAAACAGTGAAGAGATTTTGTTTGATGCTCATATGGAGGTGCCTCGGTCTGGATCATTACCCAGATTGAGCCCCAGGGTAGGAGTTGGTTGATAAGGAATAGATGACATTGTTTTTATAGGACTCCTGAAAAAGCCCCCATTAGGTGCCCTGTGCCTAAAAGGGCCAGTTCGGTGCTCAGGCACGTTGCCAAAAGCGAAACCAGAGGCAGCTTTAGCTGAGAGTGTGCGGCTAAGAGTCTGGATCTGCTCTGGGATAAAGGTGGTTGTGGTGATATGAGTGTTCCTGAAATCACTGATTTGCTCCAGTGCTTGTCGTGTTGGCAAAGTGTCAATGTCCAGAGGGGTCAAGTCAATTGACGAGGTGGAAAACTGTTTATGGGGGCTGTCGTCATCTGTGCACAAGCTATTTACACGTCTATGGAGGTGCTCCAGGTCAATTTCCTTGTCATCCTGGAGATGAAGAAAAAGAAGATAAGGTTCTCATCAGTACTAGCTTCCATGGTTAAAAAAAAAAAAAAAAAAGTAGTTCAGCAAACATGATATGTAATTAACTGAACTTGGGGGTTTATTCATTTAACATATACCTATTGAGCACCTAATATGAGCCAGGCATTGTGCTAGGTTCTGGGGGTACAAATATGACTCTGAGATAAAGTTATCTGTCGGAAATCTTTTTCTTGCACTGAAAGTTCTATATATGTCACATGCAACTACAAAAATATAGGAGCAGTGGGTGGGTGATAGCATTCTATAAGATCAGGGACAGACCCAGGCAAAATCATACAAATCAGAAGTATGGGTTTAACAACTCACTTTCCCACCACACCTCTTCTTTCCACATGCTTCCTCTTTTGTCCAGGTGTCTTATTTCAAGCTGGATTTTTGTTCTTTCCCCCTATTCACTGCTAACCTTAACTTTCTGTTCTTTGAGCTAAGCGATACGATATGCTAGTTCACACTAAAGTGTTAGTGACTGTTAGCATGTTATTTCTCTTTAGACCAGAGAGATATGAGATTATTTAGAAAGAGCAACATTCAACACAAGAGAATCACTTTCTCATTGAGGGATTTCATACGACACTCAAGCTATCTAGTACCTGCATGAGGCAATAATGTGAGGTCAGCGAGATCTTTAGGGACCCCTTGGAGTCATGAGGTGTGAATGACAGCTTTGGTTTTGGGTCAGGTTTATGCTAAACGGCCTCTGGATCAAAGATGCTTTGAGCTAAGCTAATGGAGTCTTAGTAAGAAGGTGCTTGATAAAGAAAAAGGAAGTAAAAATCTCCTATTTCTGATGTTGAAAGCAATTCATAAATCCATTAGGATTTTCACTAAAAGTGAGCATTAAAGCCCGATGTTTGAAAAATAAAACTGGCAAGAAAAAAAATAGTCTTTTATCAGTCATGTTTATGGCCAAGTTCAATAAATTAATTTAGTGAGGGTTTAAAAATATCTATTAATCATAAGAAGAGAAAATGTTTGTTCATAGATCTGGATTAGCTGTCATGAGTTAGAATGGAGTATGTATTTTTTTCATTGTGTTATTATAGTGCTCCTCAGCGAAAAATATTTTGATGTGCATCACTGTTTTTCCTTCTCCTTTCTCATTTCAAAATCCAATAAAAAATATCCATTAATGCAATATTATCACTGAGACTTTAGAGGGCTGAGAGATATAATTTTATGGTTCCCACAGCAACTATAATGTAGTCATCCATCAACAGATATAATAATGCAAAAATTTAATACCATATATAGTAATTCAAAATATAAAGAGCTTGGGGAGCCCTTAATTTCCAGATTTTTGAGAATATGAAATCTCAGCTATAATGTTGCATTAATGTGGTCTTTTGCATTGAATCAATGTCAATAGAGATACCAGAAGCTTATTCCATAAAGAAATCACTACAATAAAACCAGATTAATTTTTGGTTCATATTCCACTAATTGAGAATGTATGATCATTTAGATAGGTAGGAAGCTAAGTTTTATCTTTGGTAGGCCGAGGTTTTCCTTATAAATGGTGCTGATCAATTTTTGCCTATAAAGTGGTAGGAAGGAATTCTCAGACTACTTTAGAAAAAAATCTGTTTGAAAGAGTACATTGACATGTAAACATTCATATGCAAATCAGAAGTCATTTTTATTTGTGCATTAAAGCAGATCTTCTCAGGATTCGCTCTAATCATCAATTAGTCAAAGTCTAGTTACAGAAAGTTTAAAACTGTCCTTTGAAAGTGTGCAGCAAATCAAATCATGCAGCAAACTCAGGTTGTTTTTTCATTTCAATTTGTCAAGGTTTAGTTAAGATAATTTCATATTTAAAAATTTTTCACCATTTGCCTCTAGCGGAAATATGATAAATTAATCAAGCAATTTATTTTAACTTCCTATTTTCTCTGATCATTTATAAATTACACAATTTTTGATATAAACAAGGCACATGCCACTTTCAAAGAGATGCTATGTATAACTCTGCAAGTATTCTTTCAGATCTTAGAAAAAAATTTAATTTAATTTTATTAAAAATTTAATACTAGATGATTCCACAAAATGGGTTTATTACGCTTAGAGCTGTCAAAGAGCTAAAAACGTATAATCACTTATATAAAGTCTGTTTACAGACAGAGGGAAGGAGTCACTGGTGGTGAAGAGACAAATTATAATAATTTTTTTACTATGGCATTGTATTTCTTAGGCTGAATCTTAGAGACACAAGCAATTTACTTATAAGCTCCACAACCTATTGAGATAAAATGTTAAGCATCTTTGTGAACTGGTCAAGGGAATCACAGCCTTTAAGAAAACCACTGTTTTAAAGTCTATCTTGAGATTTGGCAGAATTTTAAAGCCTTTTACGGCACATGAAATGGTCAGTCTTTAAAACACTAAGCCTCCTCTTCGTTTATCTGGGATGTCCTAAAATGGAAATTGGTATTGGCATCCCCACTTTGTATATTTCATAAATTTATTTTCAATCTTCAAAGAGAGAAGAAACAAGGACCACCCCAAACCCATTATTCTCTTCCTGGTGATTAATTCTCCCTGGAAACACAGCCTGCTTGTTGGCCCAACTTAGTGCTGAAACTGTCAATCAAGTACCTCTTTTGATGGGACCCGGGAGCCTTTCCTCTTGTTCCACCACGTCTCCAGCATCGCTATAAAGCAGGAGAGGACAATTCCAGCGGCCAGGATACAAAAAACTCCTGCAAAGCTCTTTATGTCCAGGGCACCTCCTTTCTGCTTTGTGTCCACTGAGGAATACAGGTCACACTGGCCATTCTTTGGCCACCATTTGTGCTTCAGGATGTCCATGTCACCGTTCTGTTGAAGCTCCAGGATCCTTAGGGTAAAGAACACAGTCATGTGTTATTGCAGACATAGTTATTGCTTTGGTCCACAACACATCCATTTATAATCCCACCTCCAAAGGATGGTGGTTGTCAAGGGGAAATGAATGTATAGGTTAGCCTCTGCAGATGGAATGCCAGGACACTGAAAACGTTATTGCTTTGATTTTACATACAGAGTTGTGCCACAGGCTTTCGTCTCTCCCTTCTCTGCCCTCCCTTCCTCTTCCCATCCTCCTCCTCCTCCTCCTCCTCCTCCTCCTCCTCCTCCTCCTCCTCCTTCTTCTTCTTCTTCTTCTTCTTCTTTTTTGGTTTTATTCTATAATTCTAAATACTACCCCCCTGCCTTGTTGCAATGTGTTTTTACAATTACATTTCACAGGCACTGTTTTTATGTGGTTTCAAGCTGCTGCAGTTCTGTGTTGCTTCCCTACATGCAGAATGGTGCTCTGGATCTTAATGCTTTTATGAAGAACGTTTTGCTGCTTAGGGCAAGATGCTGGCATAATGTCGCCCAGCATATGCTACACACAAAGAAATTCAATTAAAAAGTCTTCTATTATTTAACACAGTGTGGGAGAAAGCCTTGGGACAAGTTTGAAGTTGATAAAATACATCATTTTTGGTTTTTCACACAACTGATGTAGTTTCCCTTTTAATGCCAAAGGGGAAAATAATCTTACCTTGGAGAACAAGAAGAAAAGTTGACCAGAGGCTTTAGAAGTAGTTAAATTCAAATAAGAAATACCCTTCTTCGTCTTCGTTTTCCCCTCAGACTCTGGGGCTAGGTGCAAACACTGTAGCTTTTTTAAAGTGTGATTTTCATAGAGGTTTTATTCTCATTTCCAAACATTCTTGCCTACCACTGGCCCTTTCCAGCTATGCCCCATCTCACTGGGTGAGAATGGTCAGGACCAAGGCTATGAGCTGGCCGAGAGTGTGTACCATCCTCAGGGTTCCTAGGATTTCCCATCCGAACAATTCAGAGTGCTCCTCCAGGTGCTGGGAAGGCTTGTCCCACATATTTCCTCCTGAGAGCGAATCTCACAGCCACAAGGGTGTCATAGGTCTATAGAGTGGTGTTTAGAGAGCATGGATGGAGCTTGGATGTACGAGCTCAGGAGTATACACCTTTGTGTGGGTGATCCTTCACTGTGCAGGACAGAGCTGAAAGTGGAAGCGAGGGGACCAGGGACCAAGCCCTTGGGCCACTGGGTCAGTGTAGTATTTCTAGCTAGTCACAAATTAGAAACTCAAACCTGGCCTTCTAAGGGTATTGGAAGTGTATTTGTCAAGGTAAGAGGACAGAACCTATTTTATCTAAGAGTTTTTAACTCAATTTTTAATTTTTATATAGTTAGCCTTAGGATATGTGGACCTCTATTTGTACTCTCGCCTTGGGTCTTGGTCATTCGGGGAGAGACTGCTTAAAACTTTACAGAGAAGAATGATGTCTGTCTGGAAGGAGTAAATGCTCTTTTGGTGATGCATTACCTTTTTATTGGTTTCATGTCATCTAGGTGTCTATAAGAATGAGTTAAAAGATAATGGTTGGGGTGGAGTCAATATTCAACTTGAGTCAAACAAGAGTAAGACTAGCCTGAAGGCCTGTGATAGAGACTTCCTCTTATCATGCACCTTTGACTGCTCCCATAACCTTAACCCCAGGACCCACAGGTGACACTCCAGGATCGACATTGCTCTGGAATTTCCCTCACAACCTGGACTTCTCCCTTTTTATGATACTGATCTGTCGAAAGCTCTGTTGCTTCAGGGTGTTGCTCAAAAAGTGCAGCTAATTTGATTCATTGAATTCACTAAAATGATTATGAATACTACTGGATTACATTTGCAGCCTTATTCTTCCCTTTTCTCAGACAGAGTAATTTGTATTTTCCAAACTCTACAAGTGTGTTCCGTGGGACACTAGTGTCTACAGGGGTAAGGGTTCTGTGGTCATTAACTTTGAGAAACACCTTCTCAGCAATTTACAGAGAAGTCAGTCTATTAAAGGTTCTAGGAAGACCTGTAGAAAAGAAAACTTGAATGATTTTGTTTAGCATTTCCCAAAGTTATCTGACTTTCCTTCTCTTTTCAATATTTTTTTTTCTTCCCTAATAATATATATTAACAATTTGTGGAGCTAGAGTTTTATGGAATACACTTGAGACATAGTGCTTTCATCCAAAGAAACAACTACTAGCGGGAACTGGCAGCATGGTGTAAGGTATCACACATATCTGTGATCACAGCATCAAAGTCGCTTGCTTGGCGTAGCTACAAATACATTCAAATGATGTTGGCAAACCCATTAGCTATTTGCCTACCTAAAGACACCAGGTAGTCAGGACACCATTGAATACTTTGAAGGAAAAACTTGGTCATCTCTGAAAAAAAACAATGTTCTTAAATTTGACATTAGAGGTATACGTAGAGATAAAAGGAAGCTACAGTAGCATTTGCTTAATGAGAAGACATCTTGGCACAAAATGAACAGTTAAGTTTCTCGGCCCTCCTCCTCCCCACATTTTACTGGTCAATGTCTATAGAAGTGGAAGTTTCCCTTCACAGTATTTAGCATCATTTAAAATAACTTGTATTTTCTTCATTAATGTCGATTTCCTTCTCTAGGGCGTGCATTCACCATCTTCCATACTGCCTAACGCAGAGAAGGAAAGTATTTATTGATTGAAAATGTTCAGCACAGTTTTTGGTAAATGGACCCTACCTCAGATTCCACTTTTTTTCTTATCACTGATACTATTTTCTAATTTATTCCATTCCTTCCTATTCATTTATCCGTTCAATAAATATTTAAAGAATGATCTCCCACCAAATATTTCTTTGGGTCATAATTTATGTTAAACCACAATTGCACATTCAGCCAGAATGGCCTGAGCAACATTGTGATATTATTTCTTTTGAATGCCCTCAATTCATGTTAATTTATTTTTTCATTCATTCACATGTTCATTTGGGAACCAATGACTGCCTACTCTTTCTCCTCAGTGGTATCTGGTATCACAATGTATCCTTATTATTTGTACACCTGAAAAATAATTTGTTTTTTTTAAAAAATGTTTATTTATTTTTGAGAGACAGAGATAGAGCATGAGCAGGGGAGGAGGAGAGAAAGAGGGAGACACAGAATCTGAAGCAGCTCCAGGCTCTGGGCTGTCAGCACAGAGCCCAATGTGGGGCTCAAACCCATGAATGGTGAGATCATGACCTGAGCCAAAGTTGGATGCTCAACCGACTGAGCCACCCAGGTGCCCCCAAAATAAATTGGTTTTTAAAAATAATCATTGAAGTATACATGAAGTATACTCTATGATACCCATTTTGCTGCTAATGGGATCAAGGGCCTTAAATTCAAATTGTTTAATTATAGAACTTTTAGGTTCAGCAAGCTGGACGGTAGGAGTGACTGCGGGAAAAGAGTGAGCAGACTTCTCTACTTGCCTTCAAGGATCATCAAAGATCATCACACCACAAAGATCTCTTTATCTGATTGATATCAGGAAGCACAGGTGACTGAGGCATTTCAGGAGCAGCCCATGTTTTGGGATAGACAGAACAACTGGACCATAAGATCCCTCAGTCAAGCCCACAACAGATTCTAGGAACACAGGCTGGCATGGAGTAGAAGTGTTGGGAAGGAAAGAGTTTTCTAAGCTCAGAGTTCTGCCATAAATTCTTGCTACAGAAACTAATGCTCCTGGAAATTCCATTAGAAAAGTTTCACTACAGGGGTGCTTGGGTGGCTCAGTTATTTAAGCATCCAACTTAGGCGCAGGTCATTATCTCGTGGTTTGTGGGTTCAAGCCCAGCATCCAGCTCTGTGCTTATAGCTCAGAGCCTGGAGCCTGCTTCAGATCCTGTGTCTCCCTCTCTCTCTGCCCCTCCCCTGCTCTTGCTCTGTCTTTCTCAAAAATAAAAAAAAATTAAGTGTCATTACACCCTCTTTTTTGTTAATTAACAAAAACCTATTTAAGGATTAGATAAAGACAGTTTAGCAAAATCTAATGCATTGATTTCAAGAGAAATTGGATGAGCCCTTTAATAAATGAGGATGTATGTATGTGTATGTATGTATATACATATATATATATACTATTGAATATATATCCAATATATATACTATTATAGTATATATACCATATATACTATTGAATATATATTCAATATATATTATTGAATATTGAATGCTATATACATATATAGTACTGGTATCTTTAAATAAAACTTGAATCACACTTAAAGGGTATTTTTGTATTTCAACTGTAAACAGCACTGATGCGTGTGTGTGTGTGTAAGAATGCAAGAATCTAGCTGCACAATCCTTAATGCGGTCAGATCTTTAGTCTCATGGAATAATTGTTTTTGCTGTATTTGCAATTTCCACAAGATGGCAGTCTTTGCTCACAGAGAGCAATATGTTCTTATTCTAGTTAACTGGGAGGTTTGAAATGTGTCAAGTATAAACTTCTTGGTGCTGTTAACATTTAAGCTATTCGTAAGAAAGTTGGATATTAGACCATGACGAAAAACTGGATGGGTAAAACCTTTTCTTGGATTGTAGTCCAAAAAATTCCTGCAATGTTTATCCCAGAGTGATGAGAGCAGTACTATGCACTTTTGAGAGTTGTTATGGTAAAAATTCATGAAGCCATAAACAAAAGCATCTCGCTTATTGCTTGGCACTTAGCAGGCTACCATGACTCAAATGCTAGAATCATTATTATCAGCATGTATGACAGTCATTCTTTCTTTGGACCTGTTCTGGTACATATTTCTTAATGGAGAGTTATATTCCCAGATGAACCAGTGAATGATGGATTAAACGACAAGAACATTGCATTCCCTTCTTTTGTCCAAAAGTACTAAAACATTTGTCATCCCATTGAACGGAAACAATCTTAGCAGTTCATAAAACCGAGCTTCAACTTGAAAATGGTTAATAGATCAATTCTGCATGCATTGAGTTCTTTAT